GTCATATTTTTAGTCTCCCTCAAGAACTCATTTCCACTTGATTACTTAGCAGATAAGTTCTTCATTTCACTTCCTAGGGCATCAATATTGAACACCACCGAGCTACTCTTACCAACAAGGGAAGTGCTTTATGATATATTTCTTGAATATGAAAATGATTTACTTCATATGATATACTACATAGTTTCCGTTAATGAAAGCTGATTATCTTCTCAAAGAAACCCACATCTCTAATTTCAATGATTTTTCTCACTGCACTTTGGTATATATTTGAGTCTACTTCTCTTGAATATAAAACCATATGTGTTTTATTTTTTCAAGAAAGAACTTAATGTTTTACATATTTTAATTCCTCTATGATTTGTTTCATTAGTTTCCTCAATCAAAAAAGAATCCTTTCTCAATAAAGAATACTCACCTCTGATTTAGTATATTCTTCTCTTACAGAAATTTTGTATAATTTTCCCTACTACATAACTAACAGCTATTGTTATATAATTTTACATATTACCTTTTGGTTCCTGTCTACCCATAAATAATTTTACATAATAGTTCCTCAAGTCTGCATGAATTTGGTTTTAGTGTTTTAAAACTAAATAGTATTGCAAGAATATTCCGAATTGGTTGACGCTCTTTGAATTTGGCTTCTTTTTAATTGTATAATATAACTTTGTTAATGTGACATATTTAGTATGCCACATTCTTTTAATAATCAGGATGTTTTTATTTTTTGCCTTCTTTAGGAAGGAAGAAAAAGACAAATATTGTATGATCTCCCCTTTACATGGAATTTAAGAAAACTGAACTCGTTGAACCAGAGACTAGAATGGTAGTTGGCAGGGGTGAGGAAAGTGGGGAGATGTCAGTCAAAGGGTACAAACTTCCAGTTATAAGATGAATAAGTTCTGGGGATCTAATGTACAGCATGGTGACTATAGTTAAAAATACTGTTTTTTTGTACTTGCAAGTGCTAAGAGAATGGATCTGAAATGATTTGGCCACCTCTAAGACAACAACAAAAAATTATAATCATGTGAGATGATAGAGTGCTAACTAACCTTATTGTGATAATCATTTCACAATATATAGATGTATGAAATCATCATGTTGTCCACCTTAAGCCTACACAATGTTATATGTCCATTATATCTCAACAAACCTGGAAACAAAAAAAACTAGTCAATAAAATTTCAAGATTAAAATCATAAGGCTGTGTTCTCTGACAACAAACTAAGTTACAAATATGTAACACTGAAATATCATTTAAAAGTCCAAATATAAGGTAATTAAGCACTCTCTTCTAAATAACCCATAAGTTAAAAAGTCACAGGGAATATTAAAAAGTATTGAAAACTGAACGATACAAAATACCAAATTTAGTGGGTTTCAGCTTAAGCAGGGTTTTGGTGAAATATGAGAAAAGAAGCAAGACTCAATCAATAATCCAAACTTTTGTTTAAAAAAATGAGAAGAAAAGATAAAAGATAATCCCAAGTAAATTCTAAATTTTTCAAAGCAGAGAGCATTCATTCTTTGCCTAGACTTGAGTTTGTGGACCAAGGCTTGCAAGTCACAGGGAAGAAGTAGGCCCCAATAGCTCAGAGGCCACAAACTAGATCCACAAACTCCAGTCTAGGAAAAGAAAGATCACTCTATTCATCTCTCTTCCCATTCCCATAGGGGCCATTACACAAGCACATTCAGGAGAAACAGGAAACTACTATTGTGACCCACAGGTTCTGGCTTCACTCAGTAAGTCAAAGAGGTATACAGAAGGGTGTTTCTTAAAGACTCCTAGCCCCAAAAGACAGATGGTAATAAGAATGAAATAAATTCAAGGAACTGAGCTGAGAGAATGTTTGTCCTGTTAACCATTGTAAACAAGAGTACACCAGCATTTCAGGGAGTATTAACTAGGACTTTTCACTTAGAGCAGTTCTCCTCAAAATTTAAAGTGTTTACAAATCACCCAGGATTTGGTTAAAACAGAGATCTGTGTATGGTAGACCTGAGGCACAGAATGCAATGCTACATTTCTAACAACCTCCAAGGTTAACACTTTCGCTCCTGGTCCATGGACCACACATTGAGGAATAAGGGCCTAGACTAATAAGTGCAGCTCATTTCTTCCCAGACATGAGCTTTTTAGCTGAGACACTTGTGTCATATCCAGAAAGAACACCAACACTCGTCATGAAAATGCA